CCTGGCCATCAGTGGCGTCTCAGTGAGCTGAACCCTGCGGAAATGAGAAAGGAAGTGAGGACTTTGCCAGAAGCAAGCAGGTCCCTCAACAAGTCCACCTTGTGCTGTCCCACCTCCTTTATCCTCCAGTTGGCACAAATGACTCTAATAATGTAATCCAAAGCTTGGTCCTTGTCCCCTATGCCAATTCATGCCAGTTTAATAATGAGGACACCGTTTTGAGAAAAAGGAAAAAGTAATTTTATTGCTTTACCAGCAAAGGAGAAACACGGGGGACTCTTGTCTCAGAGCCTGTGATTCTGTCCATTAAGCAAAACAGAAGGCTTTTAAAGAAGCTCTTCCAGGTCTACATTCCAAGTGTGCCCTGACAGGGGATCCCAGGGCACCCTGATGGTGTGTTAGGAATCTCTTGTTAATTTGGGAAATATTTTCTTCCTAGATCCTGTGGCAGACACCTCTTTCCTGTGGAGCACAGATAACTGCCGCAGACTGGCTGGGCACAATTCAGGAGCCACTTGTCAAAAGAAATGAACTTTATCTTTAGAACACACACACCACTCCACACAGCTATTCAGGAAAACCCTCAGAGCCCAACTGCCACCACCGGCTTCCTATAAGCCTCCCCCTGTCCCCCACCCCTCCTGCTCTTGAGGCTGATTGGCTGGGTCCCTTGGGGGGAGCCAAAAAAAGTCCCCCAATGAGCAGCTCCGTGGTCTGAAAGGTCGGCGAAACAGCCCAATCAGCATCACTGCAGAGGAACCAATCAATTGGCAGGTAGAAGTTTGCTGGGGCTGCTGTGAGCCAATCATCAGCTGGCATCTGGAAGTTTGCTGGCAGCTGGAAGTTTGCTGGGGCCCCTGTGATCCAATCATCAGCTGGCAGCTGGAAATTTGCTGGCAGCTGGAAGTTTCCTGGGGCCCCTGTGAGCTAATCATCAGCTGGCAGGTGGAAATTTCCTGGCAGCTGAAAGTTTGCTGGGGCCCCTTTGGCTGTGGCTCTCAACAGATAACTTTAACCCCCAGGTTAGGAGGGGATAGAGGAAAAGAGGAAAAAAATGTCCCTTTTAAAAATAATTCTAGAGCAACCAGGGATATAGTCAAAAGGTGAAGTGGACATTCAAGTATATGGTTACCTATCTGTGCTCCTGCCCCACCCTAAACTCCTCCCAACACCTGGCCCTAAAAGGGCCCACCAAAAGTAACTCCTCCCATGATCTGGCTTGGCTAATCCCTATAAAACCCAGACCCTCATGATGACCTGCCTCTGCCATTTTTCTTTCAAAGATGTGTCTCTCCAGTGTTGAATAAAGCATCACTGGTCCACGAGGTCTCCCTCCATTTTTCTGTTTCTTTTTGTATTCTCTTTCATGTGCTTTTATTGGATTCCCTGAATGGGAGCAGGATGTTTTGGGGGTTATTTTTACCCCTCCCCATTCCAATGAAACTCCATTTTTTTTTTTTTTTTTCGCTTTCTTCATGAGACCTCCAGGTCAGAGGACCCTTTCTGTCGTTTTGGTCCTGCATGCAACAAGGATCATCTCTTTCTCAGACAAGTAAGACCTCTTCCAGTCTCTTTACTGAAATACCCTGCCAAGACCATTGCTTTTGGCTTACCCAGGGTCCCCCACCAATACTGCCACTGACAAAAATCATTCAAGAAGAGTTTCATTTCCCTAGATGTAAAGATTGAAGTGAGGTCTGCATGAGGGCCCAGTCAGAGGTCATGGAAGCAAAGGCAAAAACACAGGGGTGGGAGGTGTAGCTCAGTGGCAGAGCACTTGCCTGGCATGTGTGAGGCACTGGGTTCAATCCTTGCACTGCATAGAAATCAATGAATAAATAAAGGCATGCTGCCCATCTACAAACTACAAAAGAGAGATAGACATAGAGATAGAGAGAGAGAGAGATAGAGAGAGAGAGAGAGAGAGAGAGAGAGAGAGAAATATTTGTCAGCAAAGGCACCAATATTTCTGTTCAGCAAGAAGCCTCGGCCTCAAAAATGATAGAAGGGGATGATCTAATCACAGTTGAGATAAAGGAGATGCCAAATAATTTTTTGCTTCAAACTTGGCCTGATCACCAACTGGGGAATATAAAATGTTTAAATGCCCTAGGCATGAGGTGCAACTCAAACAGCAGATTCCCTGGGTTTCTGCCAGGTCTTCCCAAGGCTTACATTGAAATGTAAATGGTGGAGGCCTGTCCAGTTTACAGAACTTGGGACCAGAGGGGGGAAATGCACCACTTTAAATCCAAGCCACTTGTGTTTTTTACCTGAGAATCTTTACCCGGGTATTTCAGAGCTCTCTCTATTCTTTCAATATCTGAACTGACTAATCTGAGCCAAAAAGTAAATTGCATCCTGCTTTACTAGAGTAAGTAATGGCCGCTTCATTTTCCCCCCAGAACTCATATTTTTTTGTCCAAATTAAAGTAATGGTAATTTTAGACTTAAATATTAAAAAAAAACCACAAATTTTACTGGGGATTTATTTATGTAATTTAATGTTCCGTGACTGGATCTGCTATCAATAAGATATACATATGTATATATACACATATATGTGTGTGTGTGTGTGTGTATATATATATATATACATAATTTTATGTTACTTTTTACAATTAGGGTAGAAATTTAAATCTGTTTTTAAAAGACAATGAGCCTGATCTGTTTAATGGTTAATATTGTGAAACATGATATTGTGTTAGCTAACATTCATATAAACTCAGGAAAAAATTCATGTAAACTTTGTAAAATTATATTTAGGAGAAAAAGATCAGCTTCAGAAATAAAACAAGCTACCCAAGGTTTGTCTCACTTCACCTGAGTTAAGACTCTTCCTCTTACCATACTCCTTGTGAAGATAATTTCACACTTAAGTTTATTTAAAGGTATGTTCAAAGGAAAAATTCTTGTTATAAAGATTACTATTGTAAACAGGAGATATAATATTTAACTAAGGTTAAGACTATGAAAATTATGGTTCTTACTTCCAAGTTATTATAGAAACTCAATGTTTTTATTCTAGTTAATTTTATTTTTGTGTTATCTTTGTCAACTTTAAAATGTCATCAGTTAGTGCCATATAGAAATACATCTTTCAGTATAACAACCTAAATTAATTTGAGATAAATAGGCCACCATCYATAGACAGGATGTAAGGCTAACTTCCAGTACTAATACGGACTCCAATTAAATGGTAGGGGTAAATGACTGTAAATTTATAGACATTAAAGTAAACACCCAGGACTCTTTCTTAAGACTGATGAGACTGGCTTCCTGGATGTTTAAGACCAAGGCTTGGAGATTAAATTTAAAAAAGTAAAAGGGCTAAGAAAGAAACATAGCCAATAAATATTTGGCTCTTGCCCTCTGAGTCAGCTTGAACCTAGGGAGTAAGAGAACTTCTCTAGAGCTTTGTAACTCTGGGCCACATGACCCCCTGATCAGGGGGATCACTGAGACTCTGGAGAACAAAAAGCTGACCAGTGCACATGCTGCAAAAGAGGAGGGTCATTAGAAAAGGGAGACATCCCTGATGCTTCCAAGAGAAGTTAACTGATCAGGAAGATCCTTGCCGTATCCTGCAGATGGCACTAATAGAGCTAAGAGGCTGCTCACAAGCTTCCAAGAGTGACTCTCTGAGTGGACTCAGCTGACTATTAACAATATACAGGAACAAGGTCAATTTGACCAGCTTGCTCTTGAACACCTAGAAAAAATTATAACCAAGGTACAGCCATGTGTGGGAATTTAAAACACAAAACAACAGCTATTTTACTAGAACTTAAGGTGTATACTTGTGTCAGCCCCCACAGCCCTGGTGCCTCCCAAATTCTGAGGCATTTTTTCTTTGTGAGGCTCATATTTACCCCTGCCTATGAAAAATTGGACTGACCTTTGTACCTTTGTCTTCCTTACTCCTCAAATTGACATTTAAACTAACAACCAATAGTTTGCCCTACCCTGATAATGGTACACAGCAGACACAACAAAGCCTTTCCGTTTATTCCCTTACTCATAGGGATATAGAAAATCTGCCAAAATCGACACAGGAGCACCGCGATTAGAAACCTTTATTCACTACTACAGAAATTGTAAGCACAGGTTATTTAAGATATCCAACAGGTCGTTGAATTGGTACTGAATTTACAAAATCAATTATATTTCCTGCCATCTATCATCCTGTAGAATCATCAGGGCCTAGATTTCTCTACTGCCAAATGAGATTGTCTCTGCTTCTTCCTCTGGAAGTATTCTGCTTCTGTGTCAATCATTCAGGACTGATAAGGGATAAAATTAGATAAGTACAGGACAGATTGGAACAATAGAGGCAAGAACTACCTGTTCCTAAAACGGTGGACTTCCTGGCTTCTCCCTCTTTTAACTACTGTAATACTCATTGTTCTTGTAATAAACTTTTTCCCTGCTTTTAGAACTTCTGGACAAAGTGACTTGTCTAACCGAGACTACCTCCCACGTACATGCAAAAGTCATTCTTCTTCACTCACAACGTGACACTCCTGAGCCCCATGAGGAAGAAATCACCCACACATATGTGTAAGTTCTCTCCTTCTACTCGCCCCCTCAAGCCACAATCACCAGGACTATATAGGAGCCTAAAATACCCCCACCTCCTTATCCTCTTCCAGATCTCTGACATGGGATCCTCTACTGAGCCCTTTCTAGCAAGAAGTAGCCAGATATGAGGACATTGCACCCTAACTCATTATCCCCTTTCACAGCCTGGAATGAAGGATAAGTTTACCTATCTGTGCTCCCACCCCAACTTAAACCCTTCCCACGACCTGGCCCCGCCCACCAAAAGGGCGTGCCCAAACTAACTCCTCCCATGACACGGTTTGTCTATACCCTATAAAACCCAGTCCCTCCTGATGATGGGTCACCATTTTTACCCTGAAGATGTGCCCTTCTGGTGCTGAATAAAACATCGGTCTCGCCAGTTTCCTTTTTCTTTTTGTATTGACTTTCATGTGCTTTCAGACAAAGGGTAAAATTATAGGGTTCACCAGGTGTATGCTACACAGCAAGATCTCCAGGCATGAGGCAACCATCAGCAACGAGAAGAGCGTCACATTCCAGGGCACCACATTGGGTGGCTTTTCACACAAGTTCCAGTACTCATGGTTGCTCAAGTAAGCCCCTCTGTGGACAGGAAGCGTCAAGTGAGAAGAGTTAATGCGGTGCCCTACTCCACCCTCAGTCCCCTGCACAGGCAGAATGGGATTTTCAAAGAGTTAGTTAGACCCCTGTGAAGGAACGTGGCACCCAGTTTCCCCAGTCTATGTGGGAAAGGCATGAGAACACCAAGATGCAGAGAATGGGGGTCATGAATCCAGGCTAAGCCTTACGAGCTTTCTTGTAAGTGGTAGGCCCACTTGGCATTCTTGGAGCACTTAGGTCCCATTCGGAGTCCAGCTGCTGAGACGAAGAGGCAGTAGATGGCACCAAGCATTCCCAAGGCCGAGAAGGAGAAGGAACGCAGAATCTGGACCGGGTGTGCAAGGTGGGCTGAATAGGGCCGCCTCCTCCCCACTCGTGGCCCCACCGGGCCTAGTTCTGTCCCTGCACCTGGCCAAGCTCCTCTGGAGCCAGGTTAAATAGAGATTCGGGGGCCTGGGGAAGGCGTCCTGAAACAGTTCGCTTGAAAATACATTTTCCTATATCTCCGGGGCTTGGAGTTAAGCAAAACTAAGGGCCAGTAGAGACTCGTGGTGTTAGGGATTCTGTAGAGTCTGCTATGGCTCTGGGAGAGACTAGTTTAGAGACCAAATCCTCAATCTCTTGCTTTCTTTTCTGTGGGGTGGAGGCTCACTGGGGATTTAACCCAGGATGGCATCCACAGCCCTTTTGATTTCTATGAATAAGAGAGGATCCCCTAAATTGCTGAGGCTGCCCTTGAACTTGAGAAGCTCCTGCTTCAACCACCTGAGTGACTGGGATCACAGGGGTATGTACCATGCCCTGCCGAATCTCTTTTCAATTTGGTGCTCACCCATTTGGGATGTCCACCTGCCGCCAGAACCACAGTGATTCCCGGACACAGAACCTGTGAGACAAGAGTCATTGTAATACTGTGAACCCAGCACGAAACCCATGTCCTCAAAGTCTTCACCTCCTTTGGAAGTTGCCTATGATGTCCTCAGCCCTTTGGACTATAGGAAGAAGACCTTACCTCTACCTCTCCTGGAGCGTGGCTGGGCCCTACCTTACTTTATCATTATTTATGTGCCTACCTTATCTCTGTCCATATTTTAGCTTCCTTGAGGATTGGGTTCAATATCAAACATTCCCCATAAACCTTGGTACATGGTAGGTGCCTTTCTGATTGGGAATCAGGAGGCCTGGTTGAAAGTCAGGACCACACTACTTCACTCAATGAACTAATTGGTTTCTCTGGGTCTCAGTTTGTCCTAGGTAAAATTGGTTTGTAAAACCTACCTCATAGAGTTGTTCTTAGGATTTAATGGAAACTGGTGGGCCCAGTATCAAGACTGCTTTAGAGTAAATGCTCCTTAGCTATAAATGCCTTCAGTAGTGGGAAGAGGTAGTGGTATTGGGAGGTCTGGTGAGCTAGGATATGCTCGAGTATGCTCACAAATGCTGTGATGTGGAGTGTGGGATTTCCTAAGATCCAGCCCCTGAACTTTTTTTTTCCTGTGACTTTTCCCTCAGGAAGATCACTCCTGCCAGGGAATCAGCTATTCCCCTGACAATTATTACCTGTAAATGCCTAGAGAACCAAATCTAACTGCCCGAAAGATGTGTTCACTCAAATGTCTTGGTTATAGCTCAGATTCAGCCTGTATAAGAGGTGACCTCATAATATTTTCCAAATTCATCTCCCTTTGATTTCCTCATCCTTTTAATTGAAAAATATAATCCACGAGGTCACCTAGGCTGGAAAACTTAAACCCTTTTGCTCCTTGCCAAACTCAAGCCTTCTTGACTTTTGTTTCAATGCTCCTGAATCTATCAGTCCTTTCTCCTTCTTCTCCCATTCAATTCCTAATCACATTCCATGAGGAAGATGTTCTTAGCCTCCCTACTCAGTCCTCTTAGCTCTTGCTCATGGAACCCCACACTTCATCATACATGCCTCCACCAGATTAACTTTGGTGTTGCCAAAGTGGGATAGGGCACACCTGTGAGCCCAGAGATCCAGGATATTGGGGCAGGAGGATGCAAGTTCAAGAGCAGCCTTGGCAACACAAGGAGACCTTATCTCAAAATAAAAAATAAAGGGCTGGGGTTGTAGCTCAGTGGGAAAATGTGGCTGGGTTCAATTATTGGTAGGGGTGGGGGCGAGAAGGATTTTCTTTTTCTTTTTTGTATTGTTTTGGTACTGGGTACCAAAGAACCCAAAAGCACTTAACCACTGAGCCACATCCACAAATCTTTTTTTTTAGAGAGAGAGAGAGAGAGAGAGAGAGAGAGAGAGAGAGTGAGCGCACATGAGAGAGAGAGAGAGATTTTTTTTAATATTTATTTTTTTAGTTATGGGCGGACACAACATCTTTGTTTGTATGTGGTGCTGAGGGTTGAATCCAGGCCTCATGCATGCCAGATGAGCGCACTACCGCTTGAGCCACATCCCCAGCCCCACAGCTCTTTTTTGTATTTGTTTAGACACAGGGTCTCAATGAGTAGCTTATGGCCTTCTTAAGTTGCTGAGGCTGGATTTGAAATTGTGATCCTCCTGTCTCAGTCTCCTGATCCACTAGGAATACAGGTATGTGCCACAGAGTCTACTGTGAGGAGGGTTTCTTAATCCTTTGAGGCTCCTCACTCTGCCTCCAGCCTTGACATTGTCTTCATAGCCCAGGCCAGGTTCTTTGTTCATCTCCCATCCCTGGATTTCCACGGCTGTTTTGATCCTTCCCTCCCTGTTGGTCTTGTCTGGCATACACCATACAAGGCAGCATTTTGTTCTTTTCCAGGGAAGGGGCTGAGAGTTTTAGTTCTGTTATATCATCCCCAGCAACCTCAGAGAAACACCTGATGAGTGGAACCAAATTTCCACCAGCACTCTTGCTCTCCTCCTGTGTCAGGGCAGATTCAGGGCCAATGCTCATCCCACTGTTTACCCTCTCTGGTGAGGTCACTTACTGGGAGGATCCATAATCTACAGATACCTAGAATAGCCTTCTGGATTTACTAGTGCATGTGTGTGTTGTGTTGGTGAAGGTTTAATCCAGGGACTTGCCATGCAAGGCAAGTGCTCTACCACTGAGTTACACACCCACACCACATTTACAAATTTCAAATCACCCACCTCCTTGAGAATTTTACTTTTGGTCAAAGTATTTGTTTCCTTTTGTGTTGTAAGCTTCCCTGTCCTCTTTCCTGCCATCTAATTATCTTCATGAAAAGAGAAGACACCATAAATTCAGAAGGCAACACTGTTTATAGCTCAAATCTCCTCACTTTTTTCCATCACCATGGCCACTGGGCTATATGAAGGTACTGTCTTCCCTCCATGATATTAGTCTCATCTCTGTGCATCCCCATGGCTGAGGAGGTCCTACTATCCATTTCCACACAAGAACCAGAGGGATCTCTTCAATTTACTGAGGTTTGAAACAACTACAACTCTCACACTGTGCTTATAGGAATGAGTTGATTAAAAAAAAAAAAACCTCCAGAAAAGAGGGAAACTCTGTTGGGTAGATCTCTCGACTTTGCCCCCCACAAATATTACATTAGGTTAACCATCTAAAACTTCCCCTAAACAGGGAAAGAGAGGAGGAGGAGATACAGGAAATCTGTGTCCCGTCTTTCTCCACTTCTTCCAGCAGATCCTCATCTCCAGGAAGCCTTGGGGGCAACTTCTCTGCCTGACTGACCTGTTTCTGAGTTTGTTCTTAGCACCCAGCACAGAGTGGGCATCCACAATGTGGGCTGAGAATGAGTGGAAGAGGAGGAGAGAGGGGCAACACTGAGCTGAGATGTAGAGTGACTGATGGGTGACATTACTGCCTGGCTCCAGACCTTTTGCTCTACCTCCCCACGCCTATTTTTACTCTTCCCTGATAACCTCCCACACAGCCAGCTGCTCCTTCTGCTTGGACCCTTGTAGTGAGGGATCCCCAACATCTGCTGAGCTGCGTGGGCAGGGAGGGTCAGGTGGGACAAGCGTTGACCCATAAAGGAAGCTCTTTAGAGACTTGAGCCTCCCCTCCCTGCCTTCCCCTTCCCTTAGACATTCATCTCAGGTCTCTGGGGGTCCTACAGGGCTGTCTCCAGAGTGCTGAGTTTATAGGGGGAGCACCTTGTACATTCCTACTCCCCACCAAGCACTTGCCACCCCTCTGGAGCGCGGTCCTTTTCATCTCCCCTCCCTTCCCATTCACAATCCTTTTCAGTGGTGCCCATACCCTGGTCACTGGCCTGTGCTCTATAGACTCCTCACCATCAATCCCCCGCCGATGAAGCCAGGCATCAGCAGGACTTGCAAGCTGAGTTGGTCACTGCTCCAGGTCTTCCCATCAGGCACCAATAGGAGGGCATTGGCCACGATGCACACTAGGGAGAGAGATATTAGGAAGAGGCCCACCCAGCGGGCACACTTCCTTGGGTTCATGGTGAGACAGTGAATGAAAGTGAGCCTGAAATAAAATGAAAGTGTTCCTGGCCACAGAGGAACACAGGCTGTAATGTGAGTACAGGTCAGAAAAAAGCTGTGGTAGAAACTGGCAGGATCAGAATGATAAGGGGAGGCCCTATCATCAGCTGCAGCTGGTGAGGAGAGGGGGTGGATGTGCCATGATGTGGTGGGGGAGCTAGTCACACACTGGTGCCAATGTCTTCTTCGTCTTTTTTTCTGCACACACCTCTCCATCATCCCTCTTCAATTCCTTACCTGTTGAGGACTCAACCAAGCCATTGTATGTCTCTAGGTCACAATTGCCTCATCTCTGTAAAGGGTAGAGTGGTACCACTTGCCTCCTGACTGGTTGTAAGGGTTCCTTAGGACAGGGGGAATGTTTGTTACACTAGGTAGCACAAGGAGGTGTACAGTGGGCTTATCATTTCCATTTGTCACACACAGAGAGTTCCTCCCAGAAAGAAATGAAAAAAGATGATAGCAGGCTTCAGCTGTGTTTTTATTTCAAATTCTTAAAAAAAATTTTTTTTTGTACTGAGCATTGAACGCAGTTGCACTTATCAAATGAGGCACAACCCCAGCCTTTAATTTTGACTTTTGTTTAGAGACAGGGTCTCACTGAGTTGCTTAAGAACTTGCTAAGTTACTGAGGCTGGTTTTTAAGTAATGATCCTCCTGCCTCAGCCTCCCATGCACTCTTATTACAGGCATATGCCACAGAGTCTGGCTTCATTTCATCTCATTAATATTTGTTTATTGATCCTCTCTAATTTTGAGACTACTACATGTTTCTCAAGGTAGAATTGAGACTGAGGCCTGAGTTGTTAGAACATACCATCCTCGGGCCTCAACATTTGACTCAGCCATACTTGTACAATCCAAGCCAGTTCCATGAAGAATCTATTTAAAAAATTTATTTATTTGTGTTCTTGTTTTTGTTCACCATCTGAAGGTCAAGGAAATTCTGTTTTTGTTGAGGTGATGAGGTTGCTTGTGGCCTGTTTCACCTTGAGGAAGGTCCTTCCTGTTAGAGCAGGAAGTTAATCCAGAGGAAACAACCATTGAGAGATAGAGTGAGGTATGACAACATCATTTGAATTGGCAGATTCAGTCATGCCTGGAGCCTGATCACTCCTTGGAACATTTTTTATTATTATTAGGGACTGAACCCAAGGTCTCTTAACCACTGAGACACATCTTTAGTCCTTTTTTTATATTTTATTTATTCATAGGGTCTCGCTGAGTTGCTTAGGGCCTCCCTCAATTGCTGAGGCTGACTTTGAACTCACAATCCTCTCATCTCAACTTCCTTGCTGTTTATAAGAAGGAGAAGATGGATGGAAAAAAAGCTATAAAGAATTGACCTCCAGAGAGAGAGAGGACACCTGAAAAGAGAAAATGCTTTGAACTTTCCCCAACAGGTTGCCACTGACTCACAGGCAATAACTGTGATAAATGATATTTGGTTTTGCTTCTGGTGGCTTGTTGAATGTTTTAAGAATATTTCCCTGCTCCTTTTAATATCTTCTGTCCTTTTTCTTTAAACTTTTTACATTTTCCTGTGTTTTAGAAGGCCTATTTAAAATCTGAATAGCAGTTATTTATTATTAATTATTATTATCATTGTGTGTGTGTGTGTGTGTGTGTGTGTGTGCACGCGTCTGTGTTTGTTTGAGGTCCTGGGCGTTGAACCCAGGGCTAGATAAGTGCTCTACTAGTGAAGTATATCCCCAGCCCTAGTGGTTATTTTAAATATTGCAAACTGTCCCTCAACTTGTGTCTCCATGAGAAACCTCAGACTCTCATTCCACAGCCTCCTTTGAGGGGTTCTATCCAGATGTTTCACCATTCCTAGAGCCATATGACCCTATGATCTGTAGTATAAATGGAACTGTTAATTGCAAGTCCTCCAACCTCCCTGTATCTATGTCCTTTGCTAAGCAATTGAGTTGTTCCCCTGCCCACTGTCCACTCAGGAAGAGGTAGAATACACCTCATACCATATGACCATAATGTAAAATGGGCACACTCAACAAGATACTCGTTCTGAGCCTAGGCCTTAAGAGGTGTTGTGTATTGCCACTTGCCATTATCATGGCCATGAGAAGAACATGCCTGCATCAACCCACTTATTTAAAAAAGGTGCAAGATACAAGGAAAATGTCCCTGTTGGATCTCAGCATAGATCAGCCCACCTTCAGCCAATCCATGTACAGTTAAGTAAAATAAATGCTTATGTTGGTATGCTACTAAGACCATATGGGAGTTTTCCTTACACAGCAATAGCTGCCCAGCACAAACCCTATTATGCAGGCTACAGCTGACTGAGTGACAAACTAGTAGCTGATCCAAAGGCAGGCAAGCATGTAGCCAGAGACTTAGGAGATTTCTGATTTTTGTTGTACCCCTTATACCTATTATTACCCTGTCCTGAAAACCTCCAGCACAACCAGCTGGTCCTTCTGCTTAAACCCTTGTAGTGAGGGGTCTCTAATATCTGCTCATCTGGGGAGGCAGGGAGGGTCAGGTAGGATACGCTTTGACCTAGAAGGGAAGCTCTTTAGAGATGTGCCCTTCCCTACTTTCCCCTTCCCATCAGATACTCAGGTCAGATTCTTGGGGGCTCCAGGACTGTCTACAGAGTACTGATTGTGTGCAGGGAGGATCGGGCACATTATTAGTTCCCACCAAATACATGCCATACCCTCTGGAGGGCTATATTTTTTTCTTGTTCCTCTTTTTCCATTCAGAACTCCTTACAGTAGTGCCCAGGCCCCTGGCCACAAGCCTGTGCTCTAGTCTTGTTACCATCAATCGTCATGCAATGAAGCCAGGCATGAGCAACACATGAATGCTGAGTGAGTCCCTGTTTCAAGTCTTCCCATCAGGCACCAGTAGGAGGGCATTGGCCTCAATGCAGACTGGGCAAAGAGGTATAAGGGAGAGCCTCCCACAGAGGGCATACTTCTTCAGGCACATGGAGGGCAATAAGTGAAGGTGAGCCAGAGGTTTCTGGGTCCAAAGGAAAATAGGCTGGAGCATGAGTAAAGCTCAGAGAAAAGATGTGGTAGGAAAATGGCAGGATCAGAATGTTAAGGGAGAAAGGCCCTTATCACCAGCTGCAGCTGGTGAGGGAAAGGTGAGGAGGTGATGATGGAGCAGTTGGGGGAGCTAGTCACACACTGGGAGTTACATGACATCAGTGTCTTCTTTTTCTGTACACAACTGTCTGGCCTCCTTCTTTGAGTCCTTACCTGATTGAAGATTCAACCAAGCCATTTCATGTTTTTATGTCTCAATTACCTCATGTCTATAAAATTTAGAGTGATACCGCTTTCTTCCTGAGCTAGTGGTAAGGCTTCCTTAGGTCAATGGGAGTATCTTGTAAACTAGGCCGCACAAGGAGATGTACAGTGGCCTCATCATGTCTGACTGTCACAAAGAGAGAGTTCTTCCCAGAAATAAATGAAAAAGATGAGAGCAGGGTTCAGGTGTCTTTTTATGTCATATTCTTCATTGTTGTTGATTTTTTCCTTCTCCTTTAGAGACTACTACCTGTTTTTCAGGGTAGACTGGAGGCTGAGACCTTCTGTGTTAGTGTTACTGGAAACAGACTCATTGAGAAGCAGCAAGCAGCACTCAGAGAGAAGAACCCCAAACTTATTTTATGGCAGCGGGCCCAGAGGAAAACAAAACTCCTAATTCTGATCCATGATCCACAGTTTCTCACAACATTTATAGGTTATTTGGCATCATCTAAACCCATCCTATCATTGGGGCTTTTTTTATTATTAAAAATCCCCAATCTATGGGGATAAAGTCCTTGTGCAGGGTTTCTAACATAAAGCATGGTTACAGAAACAGATTAGAAGGAATGGCTGTTTTCGCAGGCATCTGTGATATTTCAAGAGGGAGTAGTCAGTCTCCCATGGAAGTTATTTATAATACAAAAATTAGGGATCCATGGTCAATTAGGCTTCCTGAAGAAAGATTGAGAGAGGGAGGGGAAATGACCCTCATCCCAGGTATTGTTTTCTATTTTTTTCTTTTCAGGTGTACCTGGGATTAAACTCAGGGGCACTCAATCACTGAGCCACATCTCAAGCCCTTTTTTGCATTTTACTTAAAGACAGGGTCTCACTGAGTTCCCTGGTGTCTCCCTGTTGCTGAGGCTGGATTTGAACTTGTGATCCTCTTGCCTCTGCATCCCAAGCCACTTGGATTACAGGCATTCTCTACTGCATCCTGAACCTTGGAACCATTTTTAGAAATAAATTATTTTTACATTGAGAAGTGAAGTAAATGTTTACATTTGTATACCAGTAACACTGTGTGAGAGGTTTCCTTCCACAGCAATAGCTACCTAGCACAGACCCTACCATGTAGGCCACTGCTGACTGAGTGACAAACAAGTAGCTGATCCACGGCCAGGCAAGCACATAGCCAGAGAACTATGAGATTGCTGGAGGTGACAGCCCTGCTGAACAGAGGTACCCTGTCTGCATGATCACTCAGCAACTACCTGGATCTTCATTCTTGGGAAAGTTGTCTGTGAGACAGCCTGAGAGAGACATTAGAGAAGAGGGAGTCCCCAAACGAGAAATGTATGAAGAAGGCAATGAGAAAAAACCCATGAGGCAAGAGAAACCACAATGATCAGAAGATACAGCAAGAGTATTGCATAGAGAGGAAGAGTTCAGGAGGAAGGAGCATGGGGACTGAGAGCCAGAGACGGAGAATCTGAGTCTTGGGGTGGGTGGTGGAGATGAAAATGATGAGAGGTAGAGCAGGGTCACCAGAAGTCATGTTGAACTATGAGAGCAACTGTCCTGTCCTGAATATGGGCCTTCTCAATGTAGACCTGAAGATGGTGAAAAACCAGCCTCTACCTCAGAGCAAAGCCTGTCCAAGGAAGGGA